ATTTTAACTCTATCCAATGCGCAGTATGAACTGTTTGAGCTTGTAATCAGTTTAATCAACTCTGATAAGAGGAGCGTCTTAGAACAGTAGGAAAATGAAAAATTGTAAATAGCGGAAAGTAGAAACGTGCACTGAGCGCAGACATAAATCTGGACAGAAGGAAACGTGCGATGCAACGAACCGTGTCTCTAACACGCGTCTGCACACGTAATAACATACGAAAATAACGAAACAGAAATTAACCCGTTGCAGCGGGAACAGCAGCAGCGTTCAACGCCGGCTGGCTACTCTTCCGAGCTTTCTGAAATTATACATGCGACGTTTGTCACTCGAGAAGAGGAGACGACGTCTTTTTTGTAAAAAAGAACTAGGATAATTGGCACTCTCCGTACCACGCTGTCGTCTTCCTCGTTTAATCAATGCGAATTAGTAATGCAGATTCTATGCCAGCACTGACGAAAACTCGGGTTAAGTATCATTCAGAAGAAGTATTATAAAAAGTCGTCATCTGTATATCCTTAGGATGTAATTGGACACATTTCTCGTATCAAATAATAACGGGTGATGCAGATTTTGCAATATAATTTAATAAATTTTAGACATTTTAGACATCCGTAAGAGTTATAAATGTTCTACGAACTTTTTCATGAAATACACGTTCGTCTCATTTAAATCGAAAGTAAAGTAATAATGCACGAACAAGACGATTAATCAGCATGAACGTTTACTTTCAATTTCATTAAAAAAAAAAACTTATTCGTTTGATTCAGAAAGCTCTTTGACGCATCTAACCGCTTAAGCGCGCTGTAGTCATTTTATATTGGCTGCAATTAAACCTCGATTAGGATGGATGCTAGATACGCATTAGGTACATGCACCGGGCAGCGTGGTACGCGCGTAGAGAAACGTGAACGCGTAACGGCTAAGCGTCCACTCATCGGACCGTATCCTTGATTCGCTCCCCTTTACGTACAGGTATGTACTCGGTGCGTTCTAACGTTGCACGTATGCACATTTAAATCGTGGCTGAGCGAATGTTCAAAGGAATTTGAAAACGCCTGAGATCTTACATTCCATTTTCTTACATGTTTCCTATGGAATCAAAGCAATTTACGTGAACAATTCTTATTACCGAGGAATTTAATTACGATATCATTTATAGAATGTGAATTCTTCCTTTGACAAATAAAATTGTATGTGCAGGCTGCAGGTTTCATGCATTTTTAGAAAATTGTATTTGCAGAAAATAGAATGATTAATTTAATTTTACTACATATGCCTGAAATATTAATGTGAAGCTGAATTGATTAATTTCCGAGAACTTCCCTTGTTTGAATAAGTTCCTGAGGCTATCCTTGTTAAACTCATAAAGGAGCGTCTTTCCTAGATTACAATTTATCGATAGTTCGCTTCTTTCACATTAATAATTAATCTATTCTTACGGACACGATAATTCAGATGAAAATAAAAATTTCCATTGCAAAACAGTTGGTAATTATAGACAGTCTGCTAATGGCACGAAGCAATGCCTCAGGGCAAGAATATCTCAGGTATGTGACTGAGAATGTATGATTTTCTGATATACATTTTTATTAGCTAAACAACATATTAAGAATCCTGACTATAAATCAATGTCTTGACCAATAATTTCTTTACACATTTCTACTATCATTAAAATTTTATTTTATGTATTGATAAACTAATATCTTGATTAATTTTAATTAAATTTCTAAAGGATTAATCTTTGGCAATTCAATCTGAATTGATCCCATCAATTTTATGAAAATATTATATCCCAACATGATATCCCAATTTTAATACTGTATTAAAATTCTCTTAAAAGATCCATTTTTAATAAAATGAAACGTTCTACTGAATCGGATCACTCACGATGCGCACGGTAAATTTATCAATGAGATCCAACGAGTTTCTCACTTGGTGCACTTAGAAAATTGCGTGTAGCAACACAGGACTTTTACCTTGACAGGATGGCATGGTTGAGCAACGACCCTCGCGGAACGTTTCTTAATACAGAGCTCACAGTCGAAGATAACGCACTGAAATCCGCCACTGAATCACCGCATGCTAGTTTTCGTGGCTCGAGGAAGCCTAACACCGGAGAGTTTATAAATAACCGTACGGCACCGGATATAACGCGAAATCCACGCGGTACCGTGGTCGCGACACGACTGACGTTCCTCTCTCCAGAAACTCGCTTCGGGCACGGATGGAAAAAGAATGTAAGCGCGTGCATACTGTCTACCCGCGACGGTGTGTTACGTGTCCGCCAGAAAGGACACGCAATTAGCTGAGGCGATAATAATAGGTGACGTCTCATCGAGAATTCTACGACTTAATCCCAGCTAAAGAAATTAGATTCTTTAAAACGGCTTAGTCCCATAGAATAATTTCATCTCTAATTAACAGAGTCCATTGAATCTTTACTGAAATATTTAAAAGTCATGATACTTTTTATGTTCGTTTAACGTTAATTCCTAAATACAGGATTACAGTACTAAATAAGCTGTTTGTTATAATCCATTGAACGACGTACTTTAATTGTATATCGAATTCTTGTGAGTTTATTGACAGTATAGGGAATAATCTAAATTGGATCTTATCAGGTTGATAGAAATTCTTCAGAAATAAGATTTGTATAGAGAAGATAAGATTGATAGAAATTCTTTAGATGCTTTTAAAAATCTCTGTTATACTCAATTATATAAAGTCTACAATCTAATGGTAAAACTCATTGGAAGTGTAAGATAAAATTTGAAAAAGAAATTGCATGGAAGTTATTAAATTAATGATTTTCAAAAAATTATACATACTTCTACGAACTGCATAATTTTTTATGACGACGATGAATCAATGAATGATTATGAGACGCGATACACGTGAAACCAAGATAGCTAATCACAAGTTCAAACGCTTGGCACTTTTGCACATGCTGATCGATGAAGGACGAAGAGGCCACTCTTGCCATCAGCGTAAAAATTTATTTGCTTCTACCACCAATTAACCCGTTTGCCATTACACACATTGTAATTGGGTCAAGGATGATCGCCAGTAATTTTGATTTAATTCGTGAGTGGGTCATTGATTGGCAAATATAAATTTATTACGTTCGCGTTGAATAAGTTAAATTCATTTTGTTATTTAATTTGCTACGATTTCTAGTTACTTGTTCTCATCCTTACAAGTTTGAAATTCCAACCAGGAGAAAAACTGCAGTTTTCAATTAGGCCAACTTGGCGCAAAGATACATTAATTTGAAAGTTAAATGGACAACTTTCGCCCACGTGAAGCGGTTAAGAAAACTTCAAAACGAATACCAGTTACATTAACATTTTAGTCACTTGCTGAAATCTAGTAATAGTTAATAGCCAATCGTAACAGCTATAAACTAAAGTAATAATTATATCTTATACACATTGTACAGAAGATTATTATTATTCATAAGAAAACTTAATTAAATTTTTGTTATTACTTAATTCTGCAATTCTGTTACGATGGTACTTGTATATTTATTTGATAAATACAATTTAAATCGAATTGTACAGGAAATTACTTGGTTCTAGTTAAGATACGAAGAAATTATAGCATCTGACAGATGGTACAGATCGAGGTGTCTGATTATTGGCATAGTTATCATATTTATTTCACTGTATATGAGAGATAACGCGTTCTCGCTGACGGTGACAATTTGAATTCAAAGAAGGCGTGCCATTTCACTTGCATAATGTGACGCGAACTCGATCGAAGCTTAATCAAAGCGGACCCCGACCGACACGCATGTGCCGTGGGCGCTGTAACGTGGGAGCGATGTTGGTCAGTTTATCCGAAGCCAAGTAAGTTCGTTACCATAAGCAGTTAGAAGCTTGCTTCACCCGAGATATTGTTTACTTCTTGCTTTTAATATCATTAGGAAAGTGCCAAAATTATGGGTGTTACTCTCAAACCTACTCTTACTGATGTGACTTTCATTTAAAGGGGCACATTTTTGAATGATATCATTTCATAAAATCTCCAATGTCAATTTCAATATATTTAATTTTATACGATGATTCTAGAATTTTGTTATTGTTGATGAATTGAATATTCTTTATCGAATTTTATTAAAAGCTTTCTGGTTGGGATTGGAATTCTAATGCTCCTGAAGGTAAATCGATCAAAAATGTCAGCTTTTTTGCGACACGAATACGTCGCGTATCAATGAGCACCTAATCAGACGAGCTTAGGGATAAGTTTCCGGTTCATTTTTGCCAGCAACGACGGCTAATTCGCGCGAGATGAGGAAAAAGCGTACTGAGTTTCTTGTCTCTATTGATTAGGTTACCGATGGAGCGTAACAAAAGGGTTGGCTTCCTCGTCGAGCGTGGTAGCTTGATGGGTCGAGAGGCCGTATTTGTGTTCAATCCTGTTATAAATCTGACGATGATTATACTGCACCTGGATCGTTCCGTGTGTACAAGCGTTTTACATAGATTCGGTTAACGAACTCGAGCCAAGGAAAACAAACCCTGTTCTTAACATTTTACCGAACTGCTTCCATTTCAACGAAAGCTATTTACGATTTCTTATTATATAGTGACTACTGAAATTTGTTTCAAACTGCACTTTGATTAGAATCTTTAGAGAGGATTAAATTAAATTTGAATAAAAAGGTGATTTGTATTGAGCTCAGTGAAAGAATTTTGTTAAAAAGTACGCGATTTCTAATTCGTAACTGAAACGTTTGAAACCGCATGGGGAACTTACTGAATGTCTGTCGCTTCAGTTTTTGCTGATTGAACAGCAACGACCGATCTAACTGTTCCGGGTGGAAGCCGCGAAAAAGAAGCGATGCGGTGCAACGGGATGCTTCCCGCTCTAAATACGCTGGCCAATTCCATCTACGTATACATAATTTATTTTTCAGTCGATCATTGTTGCCCGGATGCCGAGCACCGGTTTTCCCGATCGAGCATTCGACAGCTTCACTTAAACGCTGCGTACATCCTCGTCCACAAGTCTTAGAACATAAAACGTGGCGTTGATTCGAATGTTGTAATAATATCAAAAAACAAACTAATATGATTTATTATGCGACTTATAAAGATGATTATAGTTATATGATTTATCTCTTGATTTATTAGAAGGATTAAGAATATATCATTCATTATAAGGATTGGAAGGATTAAGGATATATTACCATTTACTATATTTAACGACTGATTGCAATCTTGTAATTGGAATAGTTTCTGAATATTCCTAATACGAATTTCATTAAATTTGTTGATGAACAAAGAGAATGACTTGTGAACGGGGTTGTACGTATCCGCGACGTTCCTACAGAATAGGTAATGCATGCAAACTCGGCTCGATCCGCTTAATGAGGATGTACACCGTCTGAATGACGAGTGCGAATTACGTGCTCGCGATATGTTCGTCCAATACATCGCACAAACGTTAAAATTAATATTCCATACGTACGTCCTCTCCTTTAAGGAATTCTTAAATCCACGATTCTTGAACAGCAAAATTGCAATTAATTTCCATACTGGAAGATTAATCGATATCAATAAACATTGAATTTCTTTCATCCTTTAAATATGCAATTTTTATATACTGTGTCCATTTTTCATTTTATCTATACATAAATGAAATCTGCGAACCTAAATATGCAAAAAAATTATCTCTTGAAATCTATATATGATATTGAAATGTATAATTAAAAATCCAGTTACATTGATACAAGCCCCTGAAGAACGTTTTCTGAAACATGTCCTTTTAGACACAAATTTAACTCGACGTCGCCGTGAATCAATTCTTTACACGCGAACAATCGGCGGCAGGAAAAAAAGAAACGGCAGGCTATTAATATCGCGCACGCACGTTGTACCAATCTCTATAAATACCGTGTCGACACTGTGTCGGGCTTCGCGTTGCGCGGCACACCCGGTGAACCGGGTTCAAAGATAGTCGAGAGGATTTTCTTTCCTCTTGCGAGCACCGCGACGCGAAAACGCGGGGTTTCGCGCGAAAAGCGACGGGCTCTAAAGCGATTTCACTGCGAACCAGTCTCGCAACCACAGAGGAATAAAAGATTTTTAGAAAGCGGATTTTGCTTCTGGTTTTATAAAACGTAATGGGGTTTATAAAGAAAATTGACAACGTTGTAACGATTGTTAATGGAAAACTAAAACCTATGAATTGAACTTCTACTATTTTTATTTAATTGTTCTTCTTAAATAATGTTAACTGCCAGTAATTTTTACCAGGAGAATATATTATTAAGTAATATAATTATTATCACTGGAATGAGTTTTGAATTCTTGAAGATAATGCAAGTTTCATTTCCTTTTCTGATAAAACAACATGCTTTCACTGGCTCAGTTAATGACATGCAATATCGACAGTTTGAACGTGTAGGCGTTAACGACTCAACGTACGACACTAGCGTTTCAGTAACCTTGCTCTTGCCTTGGGCACAGAGGAAATCCAAAGCAACGCGTAAACTAACAATAAGCCGAGCTATTGATTATTTTATTTTTACTGTACGTGAAGAGTTAAATATCTTGCGACAGAGTTCACGTTCGAAGTGAACTTCTCCCTTTAAAAACGATTCAAGCATAACAAGGATATAAGTAATTAAAAAAAAGATGTAGTTGATATATTAAATATTTTTAATTCAGGAATGAGAATCTCGAAAGGAATGCTAACTCCCACAGTAAATTTCTGGGAATATTTCAAGATTGTCACGTTAGGTATTTACTGAGGTATTGATATATGGAGTTTGCGTTACGAATTCCTTTGCCAACAGCTGACCGCCATAAAACCGTAAGCTTACAGGTGTAAACGCCTACCTGGTTGTTTCAACTGCTATCGGCATCCAAAGGACACGTCGGCGCCTACGCGCGGTCGAGATAGAGCAGCACGTGGCACCGAGAGCTTACCTCGAACCGATTATCGTGGAAAAGCGAACCCATTACTGCCATTATCGTATCGTATCACGTCATGATTTCCCACGTAGCTACGCCAGTTTTCCACGCGCTCCCACTTAATAATACCGCGACCCATTTCCGCTTATCAATCATTATTGATCTCGAAGACATTGTTTCAAGAGTTTAGAGTTTCAAAAAAATATCTTACATGAAAATATGCGTAGGAATTTTGATAAATAAGAAATAGGATTTGATTATTCATGTCAAACTTAAAAAAA